TCACACAAATAATTGCCTTTAACATCTAGATAGACTTGAAATTCTATCAGAGTTAACATTGTCTAGGCTACTTTCCCATAGGTGGGAATAATCTTCAATGATTGCTCATTAAAATCACCTCTTTAATATTACCTAAAATTTTCAAAGAAAGCTTTTATAAATACCAATGAAAATTAATGTATCACTTTTCCCCTAACACTGTCTCCTTAACTCTCCACACTTCTTAGCATTAAGATTGCTTAATAAATTGACATTTCTTGTCTAACGGTCTGGTAGATGGCTGGCCATTTAATTCCACTGACAAGCCCAAAGAGTATATGTGTAAGAATTAATGTTTGCGAGGTGACAGCTAAATCTGGCTGCTCCTCTGTTGCTGCTGAAACCTCCAGGAGGTTTTGATCTACATCTGGTTGCTCATCACACAGAAATGCAATTATTGTGACAATAAGGATTGCCAAGGAACAAAGGAATTGTTAATACTATGGATGTCTTGTTGGGAGAACGAGAGAGGCTGCCTTAAATCAGTCTACTTGACTAAGGGATATCCTGGGCTTTTAAAGGAGAGGTCAAGTGCTTTGAGGCAGGTCCTAGTGTATCTCTCAAGGGGCTACATGCATTGGAGGCAGATTGTGAGGGACGGTGAATCTTGGCAGCAGGAAGTCTGCTCTGGAGCCTTCGGAACCTCAAGTCTTTAGTGGTAAATCCATCACTTCAGACCAAGTGTGATGGCTTTCACCTATAATCCCAGCACTTTAGGAGGCCCAGGCAGGAGGACCACTTGAGGCCAGGAGTCCATCATTGCCAGAAAACAGCTCAAAGGGTCAAATAATTAAGGGAGTGGATTATAAAAAAATAGGGATTCATGGAGCTGCTTACCCTAATAAAGTGCTTTATAAACAAATCATAGAGATGTGAGGCTGTTAATATAAAAAGGTTATTGTGGTCAGGAGGTTTACTCATAAACATTGGTTACTAACGGGTCCATGGACACAGGACAAAATATGAAATGCCTACAGGTATTTCAAGAAAGGCAATAAAAGGAAGAATATGTTTTTTAGTTTTATTCCACTTATTTATTCAACGCTGAGCTTGTCCCTGTTCTGCAAACATTTCCTTTGTATTTTATTTGGAATGCAGAAATAAGTAAGTGTCCCTTCATCCAAAGAACTAAGAATAGAGACTTACAAAATAATATAGCTATAATTAATTATAAAATAATATTATATAGCTGCAGTGGTAGAAGTATGTGCAGGGTAAAATGTGAACAGTGAAGAGAGTTCCTAATTCATTCTTTGGACCATGGGATTGAGAAGGATTGTTTGGGGAAGGTGTGGTGAGCTGACTGGTGAAGAGTCAGGGGCTTCAGCTTCAGCTTTCTTTTCATCACCAAACAGGGAAATCAGAAGGAAAATCTGACACATGTTGAACTTGAGATATTAGAACAATAATCCAATTAGAAAAGTCTAGCAAGGAGTTTGGAATGAGAAAGAGAACACAATTGCATATGTATTTGAGAGGTAGAAGCAGTCACCTAATTTTGTTTCCATTTCTCTGGCTGTCCTTGATCCATTTCTTAGCCTTTGCCTATTTGTAAAATTTGTATGTCTTCTGAGTTCTGTCCTTTCCTGTTTTCTTCTTGATAACAGGCACGATTCTGTGGCCATTTCCATTGTGCAAATCCATCACAACTTTCTCTCCAGAGCTTCAAACAAGGGCTGTCACCATTGGGGTGTTTCCTGGGAACTTCAAACTTCCATAGTAATTTTGTAGGAGCATCAAATTCAGGATATTGACAAAAAAAGATTTCCTCTTCCATCTCTGCTTCCTCATTTCCCTAACTCAGTCAATGGCAGCCCTGTTAATGTGGCCGTCAAAGCCAGGACCCTGGGCATCACTCTGATCCTCCTTTTCCCCTTCTCTCTTTATCCAGTTACTTTCTTTTTTTTACCTCTCCTTTAGTTCTCCTATTCAAGATGATTCATACACCCTGCAGCAATCTTAGGGTAGTTTCATCCAGCCTACCACTCCACCCAGGTCTCGTTATCAAAATTGTTAATTCCTTAAGAGCAGAGGCCATATGATATTTATAGCTGGCCCAACCCTTTGAATCCAGCACATATTAGATAATCAATCAAGATATATTGAAACAAGTTTGCGTAGTGGAGAAAGTTAATTTTAAATGAAAAAGGG